ATTTATTTATTTATTTATTTATTCAAATTTATTGCCGCCCAACTCCAGTAGACTTTGGGGGGCATACAAAACCAGGAAACATAAAAACAGCTAAAAACATTCAATCAAACAGACAACCCAGACTAAAATAATGTAATAGACAGCAAAAACAACAAAACAAAACAGGGGCCATTGAACAAATAATAAACATCAACTCCAGGCCTGGGACCAAAGCCAGATTTTCAAAGCTTTCTGGAACCCCAGGAGATGGTGCCATCTTTATCTCTGGGGGGATGCTGTTCCAACAGAGAAGACACGCTTCCTAGGACCCACAAGATGACAATATCTAACAGAGGGGACCTGGAGTGCACCCACTCTGCTGGAACATAGTGGGCAGGCAGAAACAGTTGGAGACAAGCAGTCTTTCAGATATCCAGGCCCTATGCCATACAGGGCTTTATAGGTAATAACCAGCACCTTGAATTGCACTCAGAAGCCAACCAGTGCAGCTGGTACAGCAGTGGTGACACATGGACACACTGAGAGGCATCCGTTATGGCTTGTGTCCCTGCATTTTGAACCAGCTGTAGCTTCCAGATGGTCTTCAAGGGCAGCCCCATGTAGAACACATTGCAATAATCCAATCGTGAGGTGACCAGGGCATGAGTGAGTGTCTGAAGGGCCTCCTGATGGAGGAAAGGGCGCAACTGGTGCACGAGATGAACCTGTGTAAAGGCCCTCTTGGCCACAGCTGCCACCTACTCTTTGAGCAGTAGCTGTGAATCCAGAAGGACTCCCATGTTGTGTAGCAGTCTTGACTAGGGAAGTGCAGCCCCATCCAAGACCAAAGGTAGTGATATCCCTGACCCAGGGGGTCCAAACAGCCACAGCCACTCAGTCTTGTTAGGTTTGAGCTGTTCTGCCCCATCCAGACCCAAACAGCCTCCAGACACTGGGTCAATACATTGACAGCTTCACCTGTGCCACTTGAGGTAGAGATGTAAAGTTGGGTATCATCAGCATATTGATGGTACCACACCCTGAACTGGTGGATGACCTCACACAGTGGCTTCATGTAATTGTTGAACAGGAGAGGAGAGAGCCTTGGATATGAGGAGTTGTGGACACAATCTTTTCCCCCATGTCAAGACCAACTGGAACTGACCACTGAGGAAGGAGGTTGAACCACTGGAGCACAGGGCTTCCCACTCCTAACCCTCACAGCCGGTCCAGAAAGATACTGTGGTCAACAATATCAAAAGCTGTTGAGAGATCAAGGAGCACTAGGATGGATGCACCATCCCCATCCTTGCTCCGCCACGGGTCATTAGCAAGCGCAACCAACACTGTCTCTGTACTGTACCCTGGCCTGAAGCCAGGCTGAAACAGGTCCAGATAATCCATTTTTCCAAGATCCTCTGTAGCTGTTATCCAACCACCTTTTCCACAACCTTCCCCAAGAAGGGAAAATTGGAAACTGGCCGATCATTCTCCAACAGGGAAGGGTCCAACAATGACCTCTTGAGGAGGGGGTGTACCACTGCCTACTTCAAGGCTGGTGGGACCACCCCCTCTCTCAAAGAGGCTGAAACCACCCCATGAGCCCATTCTCTGGTCACCTCCTGGGCTGCTTTAATAACCCAGGAAGGGTCAAGATCTAACAAACAGGTGGCTGGACTACAGAGAACAGGACCTCGTCCACTTCCTTGGACATAACAGAATCAAACTCAGTCCAGATAACATCACAAGACTGTTCCCTGGGCAACTCATTAGGACTTGCCCAGTTAGAGTCCAACTCTGAATGTATTCCAATATAACTATTTGAGGATCCTGAACAATTTTCTGTTTAAGATAAATGACTTTTTTCTTACTAAGTGAGCCATGTACAAAAGGCTATGAAGGGCAACCCATCTGCCTCTTCCCGCAAATCTCTTGGCATTGTTTTTCCACATTAAACAGCAAGCTTTTAACATGACTAAAATGGTAGATCTGCAATTAACACTACTTCAGTAGTTGTTGGGGAAGAGAACATTAGTCCTCTTATGAAAATAAAATATTCAAGCTGGCTGCCCAGGGATGTGTGATCTTTCTTGACAATTTCAAAATATGGTTATGAGGGCAATTAGAAATGTAAAATGTTACAGTAAGTTGTAGAATTAGGGACCTACATGAAATTTAAACAGATTTCTGTAGAATCAGTAGAAATGCAAAAAAACTAAAGTGGCATGTTTTCTGGCTTACTGATATTTTAAAGCAATGTGCTAATTATAGACAACACATGAGAAGCATACTGCTATAAGAAGGCTAGGCACCTTGCTTTTATAACCTGCAATCTTACAATAACTGAATCCCAAAGACCTGGTATTTAAAGAACTGTCTAGCTTTCAAACACATGCCATTGTCATAATTGTATTCCACAACTCATGTACTTTATTTAATTAAATTTATTGTAAATTCTATTCTGAACTTGGTTTCACACTTCAGTAGGATCATACTAGTTTAAGATGACACCTTAAATTACTTTCAGATGGCATCTCTATCTTAGAATCACAGAATTATAACATTAGAAGGGACTACAGGAATCATCTCTTCCAACCCTCTGCAGCATGCCAGAAAATCAGTCAAACCACCCTCAAGAGGTGGTGGTCCAACCTCTTTTTAAAACTTCCAGAGATAAAGAACTCACATCTTTGTAGGTAGACTGTGTTGTTGTTGCATATATTTTATTATATGTATTTATATGTTGCATATATTATATATTTTATTGTCAGGAAGTTTTCCCTTATATTTAAAGTAACTTATGGTAGGCTGGTGTGGGTCTTCCGGGCTGTGTGGCCGTGGTCTTGAAGTCTTGTTTCCTAACGTTTCG